CCCATAAAGTATCACCCCATTGGAAACCATGAATGCAGCCATAGTCGTTTACTAGTTTATGATTTTAATTAATATTCTCAATTTTTATTATATAAAATGAGATTCTTAGGTCTTAACATATATAAATATTACATGCATAGTTATATCCGATAAAAATGAAGTGATATAATTATTTTCAGTATGTCATGATAAATAATATTTAATTAGTAGTTGATAGTTCGTGATGATATAAAATTTATTTTTAATTTATTGTGTCTACTTAATTCTTATCTTTTATTTTTTTTCAGTTATTAGATTTAATTTTTCATAATAATAATAATAATATTTTTGAATAAATATTCGTACACTAAATAATTAAAAATATGTGAAAATTAGAAGAATTTCATTCTATGGAAAAATTGATTTTTAGGGTTAATTATTAAAAATGTTAAATTATATATACGTTTTGTATCAAATTGTATTATATATATAATCGATTATATACTAAACAAACATTGAAAGAGAAAATGAAAATAACTATAATACAAGAAACGATTTGCGAAGAGATCAGAATCGATTCAAAAGGAGATTAAATTGAATACCAAAAATTGTAAAACAAAAATCAACGTTGGCATGCAAATCAATTGTAGATTTACTACTTCTTTCTATGGATTTGCACGGGAAACTTTAATTCCACGAACTTCTTCTACCCTAATTCTCCCATTTTTTCGGTCTGCTATTTGATTTTACAAAGACTCAAAAAGATTAACATAATAGATCGATGAACACTATTGCTTAATTTAATCAAGCAAATCATTCAATCTTCCTCTATGTACAATAAAAAAAAACCTAATAAATTAAACTATAGTTATATACTATGTATATATGTATGTGAGTTATCGGTAGCTTCGAACTGAGATTTGAGCTGGTACATTAACATTAACAATGTTGTGTTGATCACCATCTTGCTTTCTAGTAAGCCTTTCAACTAGCACGTCCAATGCTTCCTTCATCCACCAATGCCTACAAGCTTCTCTAGCTTCCTCCACAGTCATCTGTACGGGCATGCATAAATAATTATTAATTTAATTTAATATAATTAAGAAATATTAAACGTAATTATGATTTTTAATTAATGAATTAATTACCCATATTCTTTGGCGCACGTGTTTCTCAGGCCACAGATCAAGTTGTTCCTTGACAAGCAAAGGGAACATATAACCTTCATAGAATGTGCCATGGCTTTTGCTCAGAAAGTTCCATTTTCCCAACTCGCACTGTCAATTTATATATATATATATACGCGTATGGAATAGAATATTAATTTTATTGTATTTACGAATTTAGTTAATTAATTAATTACGAGATAATTGATGAAGAAAATTATTTATACCTCAACATTTCCAAGAACGCCAGCTTCCTCCAGTGACTCCCTGGAAGCTGCTTCCTCGACGGATTCATCCAGTTCCCAACCACCCTGATATCATCACACAGCCTTCGTCAATGCATGCGTATATATATATATATATATATATGTATGTACCCACATATATTATATATATTTTTGTATATAACCAAGTCAGCAGAAGAAATATTCATTCTCAGTTAATTAACTTTATGATAAAAAAAAATTTTTTAAAAAAAAAAACAAACAAAAAAGAAAACAAAAGGAAGAAAAAGGAGGAGGAGGAGGAGGAGGAGGAGGAGGATACCTTGGGGAACATCATTCCTTGACCTTTTTGTGAAGTGATTACAAGCACTTCCAATTCGTTGCCAATACTTCCATCACCACCCTTTTTGTATCTATACGGTATGCACCTATAATTTTCAAAATTAAACAAATTAATTATCTTTTGATGAACTTTGATTCTTGCATGTATCTAAACCTTAAAATCAACAAAAACCTTCATTTCATTTCTGTCCTTTGTTTTTTAAAAAATATTAAATATTAAAATCAAATCTAATTCATACCCGACAACTTGGCGACGACCCATGTTGTCATACCTCTGAAGCTGCCTTCCAGAGCGAGAAACCAAGCAAACCATTGATTTACAGGGAGCGAAATCGAAAGAGAAATAATTGAAGGAAGAAGATTGAAGAAAATAAAGACGAAAGATGCAGTGTTCGGATGAGTTCTATATATGTGTGTGTGTGTGTGTGTGTGTGTGTATATATATATATAAGAGGGAGATAAAAATAGTGTGTCTTCGAGATGATATCCAAATCTGGATGAAACCCAGTTCAGAATCAGTAATCTGGTTTCTTATTATCGTTAAACTTGATTGATCCAATGATAAATTTACAAATCTTAATGGGACGCCTTACAATAAAAACCAGATGAGTTGGCTGTTTAAATGGCAAGTGCCGATGGAGCACAATGCTAAAACCTATTTATAGAAAGAGGCCAACCAACAAACAACGTGTGTATGTGTATGTATTCGCTTCGTTAATTATATAATATATATATATACACACACACACACAAAAAAAAGCTTGCTTCTTTATCGCGTAAATTAATATGATATGTTAGGTAAATAAATATAAAAAGACTATTTTAAAAGTACGTTTTTAAATTAATGATTTTGTCTGGTTTCCTTTCAACTTCCTCTGTCGTTTCCAAATAATTTTCCATCATAGATTTTACTAATTATATGATTACATGATTAACTACTAATCACTATATATAATTAAATTAAATAATTAATTATAAAGATTATATTGGAGAAACTATCTTCTGAAATTCCAGAAAAATTAAATCACCGGATTCTATGATTAGATGATAAATTAAATGATTGATTAATTAATTAATGAATCATTTTTTAGTTTCTGGAAGCAATTATTTGGTGTTCATACTAATTATGAGATTTGAGAAGAAAAAAAAAATTAATATTATAGTAGTCTTAGTACTAATACCGCTACCATATTAATACATGATTACATGATTGAAGTCCCTAACTATTGCTTTTTTGAATGCAAAGTGTAATTTTGTTATTATGTTTAAAATTAACTAAAATCTATTTTGTAAAATTGCAAGGAATAGCAAATGGGTGGAGGTTGATTAGAGACAATAAATCCGATAATAAATGTACAAGTAATTATTAGTCTTTTTTAAAAAAAATAAATTGGATTTATTTGCTAACATAAAAGTGTTATTTATTTTTTTCTAATTGAGGAGATATGTTAAAAATAAGTATAAAAAATGCTAAAATAATGATTTGGTCTCAGCATTATTTATTATAGTTTAAATTAGTATTTACTTTAATTTTTATTAAATTAATCTTTATACTTTTAAAAAAAATTTGATTTAATCTCTCTATGTTAACCAAGATCATATAATTCGCCGTGAGACGATCAAATCTAATGAAAAAAAAAATTATCTAATTCAGTATCAGATAACACAGATTGAGATGTCGCATCCTCACAACTAGCATTAATTACAAGCGTCGGCAAAGCAATAGACTTTAAGTTCAAGTGAGCTGAACATATTATTGGAGTCATGGTAAATAATGATGGTATTAAAAGAGCTCTAATAAATTAGTGAGCCAAACTCTGCGAGTGGAGTCGTTGTAAAGGGAGAGTTAATAGAGAGAAAGGAGAAGAGATGATGAGCCGCCAAGAATGGGAATGTGGTGATGACGATCATAGGTGGAAAGGTCATCTTGATCTTAATCTTGCTTCGGTAAGAAGAAAACTTCAAGTTTGAAGATTTTGGGACAGTTCAAAATTTTATTTATAGACCAATTTAATTGGTTCAAATTTAATTTTTTAATACCATACTATGTCATATATTATACAACTTACACACATACTTATTAAAATATACTATATACTAATAAATTTGATATGTAACACGTAAATTAATAATATTAATTTTTATAAACATAAGAGATTACATCAATTTTTTTAAAAAAAGGAAATACAAGAATTAAGTTGATTAAAAATTAAAACAGTAACCAATTTAAAAAGAATAAATAGTATATCAATTAAATTCGTATTTAGCCTATAACCAACAATTTAAAATAAAAATAAAAATATTTATTTTAGCTCTTATTTATTAAGAGCATATCATATATTATGTTGTACTAAAAAAATAAAATAATAATAAGTTCATTAATATATTTCTAATTAAGCATAAATTATTTATTAATTTGTTGGGTTTATTGAAAAAAAATTCTCTCTTAATTAGTAAGTCTACATCTGATGCAAAAAGTAGTTGACTTTCAAGAACATGCTCACGTGCAAGGAGGATGGCACCATTTGCTTTTGTTGGGAGAGGAATGGGGTAATATAAAATATTTCAATAAGTTAATGATTTTTTGTTGTTTAAATTTCTTTTTTTAATCACAAAATGTACATTTAAACTCTTGTATTGATACAAATCATGCCTTTTATTTACCGGGTATGAACTTTGAAAAGTATACCATTTCTATAAATATTATAATTAATGATGTAATATTTTGTTTAACTAAGTTTATTATATTGAAAAAATTAATAATCTTAATAACATATTTTTATGTTATTATAAAAGCATTAAACAGAATCGAATTTGTTTTCTTCCACCATGTTTCTTCCAATATGAAAACTCTGATATAAAAAGATATATCCAATTGGATAAAAAAATAATAATAATAATAATTTCAGATTTGGAAAAAAAATGAACGTTAAGAACAAAAGTTGTCGCCTTCAAAGGAAGACTAGTTTATCGTGTTGTTTTGAAATGGTCGGACTCACATGGAGTGGAAAAAACTTGCATGCCCCGCCCACTCCTTGAGAATTTATTCCTTCTATATTTTGTCACCTTATGTCTCAACACAAGTGTTTATATATATATATATATATAAACACTATCTTTTACACGTTTTGCTTATACATATATATTATATATGTATATTGAAGCATGCACTGTGTAGCGAGACAATTTAATTGGTGGAAACTACTAGATCATGGAGCAGTTGGATTTTCTAATTAAACTAAATTCCTTAGATAGCTAACCCATGTGATTTGTCTTCTTTCCTTTTTTTTTTTTTTTTTTTTCTTCTTGTAATATATTTAAATTTACTCCTTCTAATCAACTATTGTTTTGTCTTCTTGTTTAACAATTTAATTAGTTATAGATTACAAATTAAATATTAAGTTGGATTAAGCTAATAATAAGTACTTATTATAATTAAGTAATGTGCTCATTAACCAATCATTTTTTGTCTTAATGGTTGGTACGTAAATTTAAGCTAAACTATGTTTCTATATGTGTTGTTTAATTAATTAATGTACATGTTAATTAATTAATATATATATATATGTGTGTGTGTAATTTAATTGAAAAGAATTATT